TTATTCACCATCAAAAGCAACCCGTCCTCTTATTAGAACGTCGTATTTTGACGTACACTCTCCCTACGGCCAAAAATGGTCGTACTAGAAAATGGTTATCTTGAGGTTATCTTGAGATGATTTCGGGGCTTTAGTGTCCCCTCGGCCCGGTTCTCGACCAGGCCTCCACTCCCAGGAAGCAGCCCGTGACATCTGACTAACTCCCAGGTACCTATTTACTGCTAGGTAACAGGGGCATTCAGGGTGAAAGAAATTTTGCCCATTTGTTTCTGCCTCGTGCGGGAATCGAACCCGCGCCACAGAATTACGAGTCCTGCGCGCTATCCACCAGGCTACGAGGCCCCTCGGGTAGTATGGTAGCGGCTGGCGTATGTGATATACTGTCCCGTTTTCTGTTTTAGGTCCTGTAATGGTTAGGATAAGGGCACTTTAGTACCACAGTTTCTTGACGTTGGGGAAACTTAGGAGGACGGGCTGGTAAAAATAGCCATATATTATTTGTTTATAATATGAAAACAAAACATAATTTCACGTTCGCATTTCTTATTGCTAAAATGCTATTGATAAATTATGTAATTTTTCAATTCTCTAGTTAATAATTTTTGAGCATATTTAGTGAGGTGGTGAAGAGTGAGCAACACGCCACAAGAGACGACCACGTGTCGCTCCGTGTTGGGTCATCATAACAATGGTGGTGGTTGTAGGAGGGCGCGACACCTGGTCGTGTCCTCACTTACCATATTTTGCCTTAAAACACGTCATTATTACTGTTGTTAATTAATTCATTTTATTTATTCAGGAAACAGTAAATAGTAATATAATCCCTAAAGCTGTACCATTCACAGTAATTCACAACAGTTTTTGGTCGCCTTTGGCGGTCGCTCCAAAAAACTAAAAATAACAAAAAAACAAAAAACACCAAAGGCCAGGTCCCAAATGTGCACAGCAGAATAACAACATACTGGTACGAAAGGAATACGGAAGAAAATGCAGAATAGAACCAGTGAGGGGTAGAGGTGCCACAGACACAATCAGAGAACACTGTCTGAACATCAGAGGCCCACGACTGTTCAACACCCTCCCAGCAAGCATTAGAAATATTGCCGGAACAAAGATGGACTTTTTCAAGAAGCAGTTAGATTAGTTTGTGTAGGAAGTGTCGGACCTATTGGGTTGCAATGGGCATGTGGGTCTATGGGCTACTCTAAGCAACAACTTGGTCCCTGTTGGACCCAGTTATCACGAGTCGAACCTGTCCCCAGGCCAGGCTCAAGGAGTAGTGGTAGTGGACCAGACACCATACCTAGTTGTGCCAGTAAGATCAATTATTACCTCACAGACCATCACCTATCTAACTCTCAGTTGTCTAATGTATCGGCTCCCGACCAATTTTCTCAATGATATATACTATATATTAGTTTGCCTGTGTCTCCCTCAGAGTCAACCCAGAATGAGAATAGCAAGTTTAGTCATGAGGGTCGCTTTGGCACCATGTCACGTAGTACTCGTTTCAATGATGTCAACCCAGACTCGCCCATGTTAGGCACATACCCAATATCAATTACTGTGAAAAATTCGGCAAGACTAGCCCCAACTGCCTGGTCTCCAACTTTGAACAAATTCTAATTTACAGATACAGATATTTCACACGCGCGCAGCTAGAAAGGCGGGATCCAAGAGTCAATGCTCCATCCTGCAGGCACAAATAGGCGAGTACACCAGAATGTAGCCAGCAACCGCTGTAACTCCCAGTTACCTATTTACTGCTAGGTAAGCAGAGGCATCAGGTGAAAGACATACTGCCCAGTGACTAGTGGAGTGGGTTCACAAGCACCAAGCCGTACCCAGCTGAAGCATTACAATAAAAAACAATAACAAATGACATGTGAAACAGGTGCCACCTTCAGGAGGGGGGGAGAGGGGGGGTGACGGGGGAGGGAGGTGGGAGTGGCGGCGGCGGCGGGGTGTTGGCCGGGATGGAACACTCTTGATGAAGAATTTTAAGGTGTGAATGTGAAGGAACTGTGATGAACCAGCGTGGTGTACTGGAAGGTCGCGGAGGGTCCAGTCATGTGATAAACACATGACTGGATCAGGCACTCATTTATCGCAGTAATTACCCCCCCCACCCCCCCCACCCACGAAGCTAATCTATCACCCCTAAAGGATAACATTAAATACTACTAAGTATTATTAAATATTACCACCTAATACCCACCCACAAGAGCCCGTAATCTAGGTGAGCGCAGCCTAATACCCGCCTCAAAAAAGATCATTGATTGATGAAGATTAGCCACCCAAAAGGTGGCACGGGCATGAATAGCCCCTAAGTGGAGATCTGTGGAGATGCGAATGCACCCTGCGTGACGGGAGATGTCTCCCGTGTCACAAAAGCCAAATCTAGCAAGCTATATATTACCAAGCCGGTGAAGGGTGGTCTCGGGGTTAGGGAGAGGGAAAGCCATACCAAACCTGTGTTGCCGCATCTAAGCCGTGATGGTTTCATCCCAAGTCCATTGGCCGTAATGTATTGTGTAAAGGTCAAGTGACCCTAAACCCCTGTGGGACCTTAACCGAAGGATCCCTTGGCTAATATATTACTGGGTGAAGGTCAGTAACGTCCACCTCCTTCAGCCAAATGTACATCAAGGTGAAACAACACCAGTCCAACGCCCCGCTCCTGTGCCAGGTAACTTACGGGCTCACCATAGCCCGTGCTACTTGGACCATGTTCCGACTAGCGAACCTTAAACAACAACAACCAGTCCAGAGACACTACCAGATGTTTACACCCCCAGAGACCACATTCACCCCCAAACATGTACCACCTCCGGGGCTACTCATGCCCGTGCCACCTCTTGTGGTCACTTAATGTTCATCCATCAACACCCGGCCGCTGGACAACGACAAACAGGTAAAGCAACAACACTCCCGTCCTCAAACTCCGGGTACAACAACAATTATATGTTAGGCTTGTTCTTCTGCGGCTCACAGTACACTTAGTACATTACTGGCGTATGGTGCTGCCAACTTTAACTGTACGCCTGTACATTATACGCAGGTAAACTGTGGGTATAACTGTACGCCTGTAAATTATACGCTGGTAAACTGTGGGTACAACTGTACGCCTGTAAATTATACGCTGGTAAACTGTGGGTATAACTGTACGCCTGTAAATTATACGCTGGTAAACTGTGGGTACAACTGTACGCCTGTACATTATACGCTGGTAAACTGTGGGTACAACTGTACGCCTGTACATTATACGCTGGTAAACTGTGGGTACAACTGTACGCCTGTACATTATACGCTGGTAAACTGTGGGTATAACTGTACGCCTGTAAATTATACGCTGGTAAACTGTGGGTATAACTGTACGCCTGTACATTATACGCTGGTAAACTGTGGGTAAACTGTACGCCTGGTAAACTGTGGGTAACTGTACGCCTGTAAATTATACGCTGGTAAACTGTGGGTACAACTGTACGCCTGTAAATTATACGCTGGTAAACTGTGGGTATAACTGTACGCCTGTACATTATACGCTGGTAAACTGTGGGTACAACTGTACGCCTGTAAATTATACGCTGGTAAACTGTGGGTATAACTGTACGCCTGTACATTATACGCTGGTAAACTGTGGGTATAACTGTACGCCTGTACATTATACGCTGGTAAACTGTGGGTATAACTGTACGCCTGTAAATTATACGCTGGTAAACTGTGGGTATAACTGTACGCCTGTACATTATACGCTGGTAAACTGTGGGTACAACTGTACGCCTGTAAATTATACGCTGGTAAACTGTGGGTATAACTGTACGCCTGTACATTATACGCTGGTAAACTGTGGGTACAACTGTACGCCTGTAAACTGTTATACGCTGGTAAACTGTGGGTACAACTGTACGCCTGTAAATTATACGCTGGTGTACAACTGTACGCCTGTACGCTGGTAACTGTACAACTGCCTGTAAATTATACGCTGGTAAACTGGGTACAACTGTACGTATAAACTGGGTACGTAAATTATACGCTGGTAAACTGTGGGTATAACTGTACGCCTGTACATTACACGCTGGTAAACTGTGGGTACAACTGTACGCGTGTAAGTTATACGTTGGTAAACTGTGGGCACGTAAACTGTGTAAGGCGTAAACACTATAAGCAGGTAAACTGAGGGAGAGGTAAACAACACAGGGAGGTAGAGGGAGGGAAGGAGAGGTAAACAACACAGGGAGGTAGAGGGAGAGGTAAACAACACAGGGAGGTAGAGGGAGGGAAGGAGAGGTAAACAACACAGGGAGGTAGAGGGAGGGAAGGAGAGGTAAACAACACAGGGAGGTAGAGGGAGAGGTAAACAACACAGGGAAGGAGAGCGAGGTAAACAACACAGGGAAGGAGAGAGGTAAACACAGGTAGGTAGAGGGAGGGAAGGAGAGGTAAACAACACAGGGAGGTAGAGGGAGAGGTAAACAATACAGGGAGGTAGAGGGAGGGAAGGAGAGGTAAACAACACAGGGAGGTAGAGGGAGGGAAGGAGAGGTAAACAACACAGGGAGGTAGAGGGAGAGGTAAACAACACAGGGAAGGAGAGCGAGGTAAACAACACAGGGAAGGAGAGAGGTAAACACAGGTAGGTAGAGGGAGGGAAGGAGAGGTAAACAGCACAGGGAGGTAGAGGGAGGGAGAGGTAAGACCTGGTGAGAGGGAGGGAGGGAGGGAGGGAGAGGTAAACAACATAGGGAGGTAGAGGGAGAGGTAAGGCCTGGTGAGAGAGGTAGAGAGAGAGAGGGAGGGAGGGTAGAGCAGGTGAACGTGGCCCCTGGTGGTCAGCCGCGGGCACCAGGCCGCCAACCCTGCCCATTATACACCCTCACACTCACGCACTCACACCCTGCACGCCGCGCACTCAAACACACGCACTCACTGCCCCTCACCGCAGACACTCTTTACACCTCAACACACTCAACAACAACAACACTACGAGGAGCACTTACTTTTGAGGTGGACGGGAAATTTCTGCTTCCTGCGCGACATTCCGGCAGAGAGGAGAGGTGGAAGGTGGTGGTGGGGGGGAGGAGAGAGTGGAGGGAGGGGAGGGGGGGGGGGGGAGATCAGGGCAGAGGGCCGCGCATCACAACATGCTCCGAGGGCCTCCAGCCGACAAGTGTATGGTGCTGCACTTGTCCGCCCCACGCACACCCACCTCGTGCCACTCTTGCCACATCTCACCCCACTCTCCATAACACAAACTGACCCTTATTTCTATACTCCCTCCTTCGCATTCTATTTCATCTTGGATTCATTATATGTATTTGTTTTTATGGTTCTAGGGAAGTATTTTTTTAAATTTTAGCTATTTAGTATGGTTGTTGTGGGAGAAGCGGCACCGTCTCTTGCACGTGTTTGTGAAGGATGAGAGGTTCCAATAATGTTATCCTGAGCCGGAGTACTATTATGGTGTGACATGAGTTCCGAACTTAAAGGCTTTAACAAACTCTTATTTTCATCTCAGGAAATTATCCTCATTTACGATAATAATATTTATATATTTTGTAGTATTTGGAGTATATTTATACAGCATAATATTTAAAAACTATCTATAAATCTCCCTTTACAAGAGGCCGCGGAATTTAATTTCCTTAACCTCAACGTTTTTACGGGAAAAATGTATTAGTAATATATTAATGACAATCTTGCTTAGCTACGCGATTGTTGGGATCCAGCTCCTGGACCCGCTGTGTATGCCTCTCCTCTGGGGACACTGGTGACTAGTGGGGACACTGGTGACTGTGGTGGGGACACTGGTGACTGTGGTGGGGACACTGGTGACTGTGGTGGGGACACTGGTGACTGTGGTGGGAACACTGGTGACTGTGGTGGGGACACTGGTGACTGTGGTGGGGACACTGGTGACTGTGGTGGGGACACTGGTGACTGTGGTGGGAACACTGGTGACTGTGGTGGGGACACTGGTGACCGTGGTGGGGACACTGGTGACTGTGGTGGGGACACTGGTGACTGTGGTGGGAACACTGGTGACCGTGGTGGGGACACTGGTGACCGTGGTGGGGACACTGGTGACTGTAGTGGGAACACTGGTGACCGTGGTGGGGACACTGGTGACCGTGGTGGGGACACTGGTGACTGTGGTGGGGACACTGGTGACTGTGGTGGGGACACTGGTGACTGTGGTGGGAACACTGGTGACCGTGGTGGGAACACTGGTGACCGTGGTGGGGACACTGGTGACTGTGGTGGGGACACTGGTGACTGTGGTGGGGACACTGGTGACTGTGGTGGGGACACTGGTGACCGTGGTGGGGACACTGGTGACTGTGGTGGGAACACTGGTGACCGTGGTGGGGACACTGGTGACTGTGGTGGGAACACTGGTGACCGTGGTGGGGACACTGGTGACTGTGGTGGGGACACTGGTGACTGTGGTGGGAACACTGGTGACCGTGGTGGGGACACTGGTGACCGTGGTGGGGACACTGGTGACTGTAGTGGGAACACTGGTGACTGTGGTGGGGACACTGGTGACCGTGGTGGGGACACTGGTGACTGTGGTGGGAACACTGGTGACTGTGGTGGGGACACTGGTGACCGTGGTGGGGACACTGGTGACTGTGGTGGGAACACTGGTGACTGTGGTGGGGACACTGGTGACCGTGGTGGGGACACTGGTGACTGTGGTGGGGACACTGGTGACTGTGGTGGGGACACTGGTGACCGTGGTGGGGACACTGGTGACTGTGGTGGGGACACTGGTGACTGTGGTGGGGACACTGGTGACCGTGGTGGGGACACTGGTGACTGTGGTGGGGACACTGGTGACTGTGGTGGGGACACTGGTGACTGTGGTGGGGACACTGGTGACTGTGGTGGGGACACTGGTGACTGTGGTGGGAACACTGGTGACCGTGGTGGGGACACTGGTGACTGTGGTGGGGACACTGGTGACCGTGGTGGGGACACTGGTGACTGTGGTGGGAACACTGGTGACTGTGGTGGGGACACTGGTGACTGTGGTGGGAACACTGGTGACTGTGGTGGGGACACTGGTGACTGTGGTGGGGACACTGGTGACCGTGGTGGGGACACTGGTGACTGTGGTGGGGACATGGGTGTCCCCCTAACAGTGACTCACCACTGAGAGGAGTGAGTATGAGGTGCACAATAACTCACACGGTGAGTATGGAGAGTCATGCCAGACATGTTGACTTTACCCACAGTATACACCAGGCTCTACCTACACATCCAACACTCTGCTTCTAACTCATTTTGTATGTATGTACTTTTCCCTAAACATTATGATGAGTGCACAATAGGCTTCGGTTCACACGATGAGTTTGATCTTCAGATCCTGCCACGTCTAGGGTGCCTGCTGTATGAATATGTATATGTATGGCTGTAGGAGCCCTACAGAAATACATATACATTCAATAATGATGGCAACAGAGTCCATTTCATGTGGGGTTCATCACATGTTGGCCTCCGCATGCAGTTCGTTGTGTCGGGGACAGGAAGCCTGTGAATATACTTTAGACTTGTATGGAGGTCTTCCGTGAAGACCCAACAACTGACCCTCACCAGGATGCAACTCCATCAGTAACCTCCTAGTTACTGCTGGGTGAACACAGGCATTAGGTTTAATGAAAAGTGCCCAACCATTCTGTTCCGTTTAGGATTCGAACTCGGGATCCCCAATTGTGAGTGGACAATGTATGCAGGCGATGAGTCACAATAACGTGGCTAAATTATGTTGATCAGACCACACACTAGAAGGTGAAGGGACGACGACGTTTCGGTCCGTCCTGGACCATTCTCAAGTCAATTCAATGTAGCCAACTGTACTGTCTAGATCTTACTCCTGCTTGCCTTAGGCTGGGCTACAAGTCCCCGGGAATTTGCCTCACCTGCCCATATAGCAACTTGTCCTCTCGGGCGTTCACGACGTAACTAAATTGATATATTCAACTGCCCGAACCTAGCCTAAAAGAGAACCCACCTATAGAAAACGGGACGTCATGTCAATTTTGCCAGCCACTGCGATTTTTAGTACGTCAGTTTTTGGTCTTAGGGGAATTATCTCCCGTCCTCCCAAGGACGGGAGATAACATCACTTACCTAAGGTTACCTGAGAGCCACTGACATTGGTGACCTCCACGAGGTCAGGAAGCCGGCGGCTTGTCGAAGGCCACTCCCCTATTTGCCTTGATCTTTTCCAGGTGTACTTTAAAAGTTAAGAGAGTTTTGTCATTGATGGGTTGGGCGGGTAGGCGGTTCCGTGGGTTAATAACCGTGTGGGTGAAGAAGCATCTGGTGTTGTCAGTCCAACAGTGTGGCGTGTTGCACATGAACCCGTTGTTCCTTGTTTGTGTTACATCTGACCTTCTGAACAAGTTGTCCGGCTCAACGTCCTCCAAACTGTTCACTATTGTAAAAGTTTCAATAAGATCCTCCCTGTCATGCCTGGTTTATAGTGTTGTTAGCCCTGTGGCACTCAACCATTCTTGGTACGTCAGTTGACTTAGCTATGGAATGACTTTTGTTGCCCGGTGTTGCACCTTCTCCACAGCAGCTATATGCTTCTGAAGATGAAGTCTCCATTCCTGGATACAATAATTCAAATGAAGCACAAGAGATTTATTTACACAAATTAATCACTACAAAAATTGATGTTCTCAATTGACAAAAATGAGCTCCCAATTGGCCTCTTCATTGACCTGAGAAATGCCTTTGATACTGTAAACCATAACTTCCTTTTACATAAACTTCACCACTATGGTATCCGAGGCCTTGCTCTGGACTATATTCGTTCCTATCTCAGTGACAGACACCAATATGTAGTCATCAACAGCATAACCTCCTCCACTCTACCATTGACAGTAGGAGTGCCACAGGGCAGCATCTTGGGACCTCTCATATTTCTTATATACATCAATGACTTGCCAAATGTTTCTAACAGTCTTAAATTTATACTATTTGCAGACGATACTACCTTCATCTATTCTAACTCCAACCCACACACACTAAACAACATTGTCAACGGTGAATTAAAAAATTCTATTCATGTATGTCAACCAACAAACTCACACTAAACATAGAAAAGAGCTACTGCATTTTATTTGGAAGTAAATCATCAAATCAGATCCAACTTCAGATAGACAATGTTAACATTAACAATACAAATGAGGGACGTTTCTTGGCCTATACATAGACAAGAGACTCAACTTCAGCACCCACATATAACACATAACCAAAAAAGTCTCAAAAAACGGTGGGTATACTTTCTAAAATCATATATTATGTTCCCCACTCTGCTCTCCTCTCATTATTCGACGCACTAATCTATCCCTATCTTACATACGGTGTCTGTACATGGGGCTCAACCACTACAAATTACCTCAAGCCTATCATCACTCAGCAAAAATCTGCTATCAGAACTATAACAAACTCTGTCTGCAGACAACACTCAGCCTCTCTGTTTAAGTCCCTTAACATGCTAAACATACACTCACTCCACACATTCTCATGTGCTATCTACATGTACAAAACCTTGTTCTTAAATGCTAATATTGATCTGAAACTTTTCCTTGATAGATGTAATAGAACCCATGAGCTCCACACAAGAAATAAATATCTCTTTGATATTCCCAGAGTCGGAATAAAAAAAATCTCTGCAACACTCCATGCAAATAAAAGGACCCAGTTTATGGAACTCACTCCCTGATGAATTAAAAAAATTCAACCTATGCCTTATTCAAAGGTCAAACCAAAAAGTACCTAATTTCATCCTCATAGTTTCCTACCTTGTGCTTCAAACTCACACTGTGTCTTGTACTACCCACTTCCTCAATATTAGTACTTACGACATATATCCTTATCTGTCAACTTACGTTGTAGTTATTTGTTGATATAAAACCTTGGTACAATGTACCCCTTCACCTTACCTGATATGTTAGATTAAGGACCTGCCCGAAACGCTATGCGTGTTAGTGGCTTTGCTTGAGTGTACAAATATTAGTCTTATGTAATCTCACCAACCCACTGTACCTTCTTGTGAACAAATTATTATTATTACTACCTTCTTGTCCTTGAAGTCAAAGGTACGCTTGATT